TAATAAGATGAAGTCTGTGATCCTGTGCCAGTAATATTCTGGTCGAGAAGATTTCCTTCCTGGCCCAAACTCTATGTGCCTTAACTGTAGTACTCTGAAAAAAAGTCTGTCTTTGAATACCGTCTTTGAAGAAGCTAGATTATACAAACCTATCAATACACTGGGGCATTGCTTTAATCTAACCTATGAAACAAGCAACTAAAATATTTTGGGTTTATAAATACCTTAAGTATATTTATAGTGTTCCTTTCTTATGCATAGCCCCAAGCACCTCAAGATTTATGTGCTATAGAGAGGGGAAAATCACCCTCATGTAATAGATATGGAAAACTACTTTAATTTAATTTAATTTAAATTTTATTCCTCATCTGAGGATATTTTCCCGTTTATCTTCAGTTAGAGTGGGAGGGAGGGAGAGAGAGAAACATTGATGTGAGAGAGACACACTGACCCGTTGCCTCCCACACGACCTGGACCAGGGCCAGGACCAAACCACAACCGAGGTATGTGCCCTTGACCAGAATCAAACCCAAGACTCTGGTCTGCAGGCTGATGCTGTAACCGCTGAGCCAAACTGGCCAGGGCTGGAAAACAAGTTAAAAAAACAACAACACCAGCCCTTGCTGGTTTGGCTCAGTGGTTAGAGTGTCAGCCTGTGGCCCAGAGGGTTGTAGGTTTGATTACTGGTCAAGGGCACATACCTGGGTTGCAGATTCGATCCCCAGCCCCAGTCAGGGTCGTCTGGGAGGCAATCAATTGATGTGTCTCTCATGGATTTTTCTTTCTCTACCTCGCCCACTTCCACTTTATTTAAAAATCAGTGAAAGAATATCCTGTGGTGAGGATTTACCAAAAAAACAAACACGATACAACAAAACAAAACACACCAAATGACAAATCGCTGTAGGATTGTCAACTTGAGGATACTTGTCAAGCAGTAACCCATAAGAGTCATCTTACTTAATGTTTTGGTCAACAACTTGGTTAAGTGGATTTTATAAATGATTCAAAATACGTCTGAGGGGCTGGAAGCCAAAAAGCTTGAGCTCCAGCCCGGGGCAAGACGGTGACCACTTCGGAGCCAGAGGTCCTGCCTCCCGAGGGAAGGACTGCGTGAAGGTTCAAACAGGTGGGCCCAGCTGCTGTCTGAGAAGATGCTATTCACTCAAAGACGCTAGAAGTTCGAGTTCAGGGAAAGGGAAAAGAAGAAACAAAGCCCAGGAGCTGAAGCCATGCCCATACTTCCTAACTTTGGTTTTATGGTGAAACCATTAAACTACTGAAATTGGAATAACCCGTAAAAAACAAAAACAAAAACAAAACAAACCTCCGGGGTGTTCCAGTTGTCAATTTACCTGCCTTGCAACTCCAAATCCACCCTTTGTGGCCCTGCTTGTGATGCTGGAGCTGGATCCCAGGGACCCCTCCTCCGCGGGGTGGTGCAATGCCAAGCTGTGCCAGGGAGGGTGATGCAGGAACACAATAGGAGGAGGTGGCTTCTTTTCTTGGTTCGTGTTCTTCTCTCTTCCTGTTCCTGCACAGGTAGGACATGCTGTGACACTCACCTGAGTGAGGTCCGCACTACCCTTACAGGTGGTTACCAGAAGGTCCTGCCAGAGCCCCGGCCAGCTTCCTAGAGAGTATGGTACCCCCGCCAGCAGCTCCTGACGAATTGGCCAGTGTCCCAGCTGGACCCCAGAAGGTGGCTCACAGAGTTTATCAGGGCCTCAGTGAACTTCTCTGCTAGCCAGAGGGCTACAGCCAAACCGTCGATAAGGCCGAATGTCCATTTTAAGGGGAGAAGACCCTCTTCCAAACTTAATCCTTCCTTGGTAGTCTGTCTTTGGCAGCGGCTGCTCCTTATAGCTGCTCTTCCTGTAATCTTGGGAGTTCCTTAATGCCTCATAGTAACAAATCCTGTTACTAGTTACTAGTTCTTTATATTATGCCTTTTCTGTTCAAATTCTATTCAAATTTCTGTTTCCTGACTGGACCTTGATTAATATATACTGATATCCAACAGAAATGTGTATTTATGTTCACCAAAAGCTATGTACAAGACATTTCTTAGTAGCGCTATTCACAATAGCCAAAATCTCCATCACGAGAAGAGACTAATAAAGTGAGGTATATGCATACAGGGAATGCTATACAGCAATGACAATGAATGAACTACAAATACAGGCCACAACACAGATGAGCCAACACGCATAATGTTGAGTGTAAGCAGCAGAAACCAAAGAAAATATTCTGTATGATTCCATTTATGTGAAGTCCATAAAGAGGCAAAACTAATCTCCGGTGCTAGAAAATAGGAAAAGCAGTTATTCCTAGAGGGGGTTAGTGATTGGAAGGGGACACAAGGAGCTTCTGAGATGCTGCTAATGTTCTGTTTCCTGGCCAAGGTACTGGTTCTATATCATTGTTTATGCAAATTCATTGCACAATGCATTTTTGATGTTTGCATTTTTTAATTTTGTCAGGCTCAAAAATATTACATATTTATTGAATTTACGAGGTGTGAATTATTTTTCTCAAATAAGAAGTCAAGCTTATTCATTTATTAAACCAAAAATATATGTACATATTACACACTGTATATGATGCTAAGGACCTAGAGATGAATTAGTTATTCTTGGTTCCTGTCTACAAAGGGCATAGTCTAGAGGGGGAGAGAAACTGACATGAAAACAGATAACTATGCCCGGATGGTATGGCTCACTGGTTGAGTGTTGACCCATGCACCAAGAGGTCGCCAGTTCGATTCCTCGTCAGGGAAGATGCCCAGGTTGTGGACCCAATCCCCAGTGGGGGGCATGCAGGAAGTGGCCAATCGATATTCTTTCTCATCGATGTTTCTATCTCTCTCTCTCCCTCTCCCTTCCTCTCTAAAAATCAATAAAGAAAAAATATTTAAAAAACAGATAACTACAATGCAATATGAATGGTTTAGGTATGGATGGAATGCTGGAGATACAGAGGAGGAAGCTGGGAATGGTGCATTGAAAAGCTACACACACAAAGCTTTTGTGAGGGGATTGTGAGCAGAAAGTTCCCCTCCTCAGACATCACATTGTTGAAGACGTCAAATAAGCAGTTGGAAGCTTTGATTTAAGACATGAGGGAGATTGGGCTGTCTGTATATGTATGTGTAGGATCCCAGTTATATATGGTGACGGTTGAAGTTGTGGAGATGTGTTCAGGGCAAAAAAGGAGGGATCAAATGATGGAATTCTAGAAGGAGAATTCAATGGGTAGAGAAGTCTGCAAAGAAAACTGAAAAACAGGCAAGTCAGAGAAGTCGAAAGAAAGAGGAGACTAGTGTCTTATAAGCAGAGAGACAAGAGAATGTCAGAAGGATTGAGCTTTCATTGTCTAAAGTCATTTGCTAGATCAAGTAACACTGTGCTCTAGTAAATTCTCATTTAACTTCATTGATAGGTTCTTGGAAACTCTGACTTTAAGTGAAACAATATATATAATGAAACCAATTTTGCCATAAGCCAGAGATTTTTCAAACTTGATCTCATGGCACACAAACTAATTATTAAAATTCTGCCACACACCAAAAAGTAGATTTTTTGCCAATCTGACCAACAAAAAAAGTATAATTTAGATTCATTCACACCAAATGGCTATTGTGTTGGCTGTTGTCATTTTTTAAATTTGACAATCTAAGGCAGCGGTTTTCAACCTGTGGGTCGTGACCCCTTTGCAGGTCAAACGACCCTTTCACAGGGGTCGCCTAAGACCATCGGAAAACACATACTTCTGATGGCAATTCATGACAGTAGCAAAATTACAGTTATGAAGTAGCAACAAAAATAATTTTATGGTTGGGGTCACCACAACATGAGGAACTGTATTAAAGGGTTGCAGCATTAGGAAGGTTGAGAGCCACTGATCTAAGGGAAACGAGGTCAGTGCCCTAACTAAAGAGTCAGGTATTGCATATGTTAAAAATTCTTGCTGCACACCCGGTTGAAAATCGTTGCCACTGGCTAACTGATATTAGCAAGAGTTAGATCTAAGGGCATCTCATTAACATTATAACTAAACGACACTGAACGACACATTATTCAAGGACCTGCTGAAACTATTTTTTAAAAATCTGGCTTTGATCAGAGTAAAAAAGCAAAGACTATGAATATTGATTAGTCTTTAAAGATATTTGGTGGTAAAGTGCAGGAGAAAGCTAGATTAGTTTGAGCATGGTTGTAGGCTAAGGGGAAGGAGAAAACTAAGGAAAAGTTGGGTGGCAGGGGTTCCCTGAGCCAATGGGAGGGGTGAGGTAGAGAAGTCCCCAGAGGCAACTGTTCTAGGTGTCTGCTCTTCAAAGTGTGGTCACAGACCTGGAGCAACAGCAGCACCTGAGAACTCTTTAGGAATTCAGACCCTCAGGGCAACGGCAAGTGTGATGAATCGGAACCCACATTAAAAAAAAAATGTTTTTATTGATTTTTTTAGAGAGAAGAGGGGAGACATAGAAACAACAATCGGCTGCCACGTGGGCCAGAACCCACATTTTAACAAATCCCCAAGTGATCATAACTTGTAGCCCTTGCAACAAGCAGTAAGATGGGCATTACTGCTCCCATTTTTACCAATAAAGAGACTAAGGCTCAAAGAAGTTGCTTGAGAGAGCAGGGCTGATTAGCAGCTGAGCCAACATTCAATTCCAGCGCTTCCTGACTCCAATGTTCCTTTCAAAAGGTAGAAAAGTAAGTTCAGAGGAATTCCTACTGTCACTCAATCAGAATCGTTTCAGACGCTACAACGCCTCCAGCGATCAATCATAGGTCTGCCCCCGCCAGGGCCGCCAGCTACGTTTGTTGAGACAGTGATGCACGAATTCCTCGCTGGGTCCTTGGCACAGTCGCAAGAACAACATCGACAGGGTGCGAACTTCACTTCCCAGCAAGCCCCGCGGCGCCCTATCGCGCGAAGCATGCCGGTTACCTCGCTCCTCTCCCTTCTCTGAGGGGGCTGTCCAGCAGGGGCGGGACACGTCCCAGCCTGACGTAAGGGCGCGCGGCATCCTGGGATATGTAGTCTGGCCGGAACCAGCGCACCCCCTCGGATGAATGGGGCCGGGGCTGACAGCGAACTACAGCTCCTCGGCCGGCAGCGTTGGTGGCGGCCGCCGGGGAAAAGGAGACTGTGGCGGCCCCGGGGAAGAGCAGCGCTCTGGGGAGGTGGCGATGTGCTGTGCCGCGGCCAGGGTAGCAGCCCGGCTTCCTGGGGTAGCGGTATAGGCGGGCGCTTCTTCTGCGCGCCCGCTTCCCTTCAGCCCTGCGCCGGCCATGCGCCCGCTCTTCGCGGTGGGCCTGGTTTTCGCAGGCTGCTGCAGTAACGTGATCTTCCTCGAGCTCCTGGTCAGGTGAGTGACCCCGGTGGGCCGCACCCTTCCCCGGGGCTGCGCAGACGAAGCCGGAGGGGAGGTGTCCCCGCGTCGCCCCGGGCCGGAAGCGGGGGTTGGGACGCCCGAGCGCGGGTCGGCTCTGCGTTGCCTGCGACCCGGCCGTGTATGGTTTTGACAATGAAGAGGTCAGTAGAACGCTAAATGAAACTCTTCAAAACTCTGGCTTTGATCAGAGTAAAAACAGCAAAGACTTTTAATATAGATTAGTCTATATAGAATATAGAATAGTTTTCATCCTGCATTTGGTCCGCTGTCCCGCCCAATAGTTTCGCAGCATCCCTGGCAGGAAACACTCGGGGGGTTGCTGTGGTCACCCCCACTTCACACACTGGGGGATTGAATCCCGAGGACTTTCTCAACTGACTGACCCCAGCTGTTTTCTCCATCCCGGTAATAATGCCGTTTGACTTGAGCAAAGCAGTCTGATTTTGTACACGCCGCAAAGAAAGTTTCATGTGTATTAAAGTGGCCCTCAAAGCATTTGTTTTATTACCTTTATAGATAGATGGTCATAAGTACTTCGCCCAAACATTGCCTCTCCGTGATGCAGTAGTGGCTATTCTTATTTGTGCAGAAGGCCCGTGTAATTGGCCCAAGAGAGCATTTCCAGCTTTAAGATCGTAGTCTTTAAATTGGGAAGCATGCATTTTGAGATGTAACTTTATAAATTAAGGATGGGGGAAGGGGATAAAATAAGCTGTGGTACATTTACACAATGGAATACAACTTGGCTGTAAAAAAGAAGAAAATCTTACTTTTTGCAACAGTGTGGATAGACCTGGAAATTATTATGCTAAATGAAATAAGTCCGTCAGAGAAAGACAAATACTATATGATCTCACTTATGTATGGAATCTAATCAACAAAATGACTTAACAAACAAAATAGAAACAGAAGCATAGATACATAGAACAAGACTGGCAGCTGTCGGGAGGGGGGTTGGGGCACTGGGTGAAAAAAGGGGAAGGGATTAAGCAAAAAAAACCACATATATATGTATGTATTTATGTGTGTGTATGTATGTATATGTATGTGTGTGTGCATATATATATATGTATATATTTGTGTGTATGTATATATATCTCACACAGACACTGACTATAGTGTGGTGATAGCCAGAGGGAAAGGGGGATGGGGTGGAAGAGGGCATAAGGGAGATAAATGGGGACAGAGAGAGACTTCACTGTGGGTGGTGAGTGCACCATGCAGGATGTAGATTATGTGTTATAGAGTTGTACACTTGACACTTGTATGGTTTTATTAACCAATGCCACCCAAAAAAATTCAATAAAAAAAGAATGGAGGAGTGGAGGGAGGGCAAAACAGGTCAAGGGGGTGACAAATGGTGCTAGACTTCAGGTGGTGAGCAGGAGGTGTTGCACACATGTAACAGGGTGGATAGACCTGGAAATGTTGCACACTGAAACTTATACAATGTTACTTCAAAAAAAGAAAGAAAGGAATAGCTTTACCAAAGGGAAACTAGGTTAGTTTTATTGAGATGGCTGCGAATAATGCTGAGTAATAATGTGCAAAGTTCAGTGGGTAGAAACTGTTAACCAAAGAGGCAACAGGTGTCCTGGAAAAGGCTCAGGACTAAAAAAGTCTCAAAATTGTGAACTTAATTCTTGATTTTGTCATACTGCAGTTGTGTGACCTTTTCAAATCATTTAGCCTCTCTGGGCCTCCTTTTTCATGCTGTAAAATGCTATGAATGGTGCTATCTACCACCATGTTTCTGAATCTACACTTTATCTCCATTGACCATCAGAAGAATCTGTGTGCAATATAGGTCAAGAATGATAATTTCTGATTTACTGAAAATGAAACAGTCCCCAAGAAGTTAGATGGTCTTTTACTCCTTGTAAGGGGCAAGGGCAGAACTAGAATCAGGATATCTGGACTCCCACTGCAGTCTCTTTTTCAACCTCCCTGATTATTTTGAGCTTGAGCAGCCAATAGGTTCTGGTTGTCCAGCTTCTCACGTGGTGCTTGCTACAAATGTATTTTATTTCCCTGATACCATTGATGAAATTATTCTGAAGCTACCAGTTTATTTAAGATAAACTCTGTATGGGGTTAATATTTGCATTTACTGAGCTAGAAATCTTGTTATGCAGAAAGTGTTGATAAAGATATGTTATTTGGCATCTTTTTTTTTGAAGGACAGGCAAATTTTTTTTTAAAATTATTTATTTATTTATTTAATCCTCACCTGAGGACATTTTTGCATGTATCTTCAGATAGAGCAAGAGGGAGAGAGGAAGAGAGAGAGAAACATCGATGTGGGAGAGACCCATGGAGTGGTTGCCACCCACACAACCCTGACTGGGGCTGGGGACAAACTGCAACCAAGGTACGTGCCCTTAGCAGGAACTGAACCCGGGACTCTCCGGTCTTCAGGCTGACGCTCTAACTGCTGAGCCAAATCTGCCAGGACTTAATTTTATTTTTGAGAATAGTTTATTGCCCGACTGGTGTGGCTCAGTGGATTGAGCGTTGTCCCATAGACTGAGAGGTCCTGGTTGGATTCCCCATCAGAGCACATGCCAGGGTTGCTGGCTCGTTCCCCAGCAGGGGGCGTGCAGGAGGCAGCAGATTGATGTTTCTTTCTCATCTATGTTTCTCTCTCTATCCCTTCCTCTTTCTCTAAAAAAATCAATAAAAACATACATTTTCTTTTTATCCTCACCCGAGCACATTTTTCCATTTTTCGTTCAGATAGAGTGGGAGGGAGAGAGAGAGAGACAGAAACATTGACGTGAGGGAGACACATCGAGTGGCTGCTACCCACACAACCCAACCAGGGCTGGGGACCAACTGCAACCAAGGCACGTGCCCTTAGTGGGAACCGAACTCGGGTCTCTCTGGACTGCAGGCTGACGCTCTAACCGCTGAGCCAAACTGGCCAGGACAATAAAAACATATTTTAAAAAAAGAATAGTTTATTGATTTTTAGAGAGAGAGGAAGGAAGAGAAACATCTATGTGTTAGTGCAACATCGATCCCTGACCAGGAATCAAACTGGCAACCTTTCAGTGCACAGGATGACGCCCAACTGAGCCACACTGGCCAGGGCCATTTGTCCTTCTTGAGAGTAGGTGGTGAAGGATATGGAAAAAAAAAACACCAATGTATCCTGTTTTAAGCTGGTACATTTCAAAAGAAGGTTACTTTGGACATCAATTTTAAAATATAAAAAAGTGATAAAATCAGGCCAGCCAAATAAAGATCAGAGAATAATAGTGTCATGTTTGTGTTGCATATGCCATTAAATTAAATCTTGTCAAAGGCTGTGTGATGTCAGTTATGCCAGCAGCTAAAGGCACTCTTGACTAGTTATGAGCACTTGTCTAAATTACTTGATCTCCCGAGTCTGTTTTCTTAACAGTAAAAGGTGGGGGAAGAAGTAAAAAGGGGTGATGGCGCTCCCAGCCTCACATGGTTTGGAAGGATTACATGGATTCATGTGCAAAGCCTGAGCACATTCAGGCTTCCCTCCTCTCTCCCAACTTTTATTTCAAACTTGTTTTATAAGTTTGTTCTGGAAAGTTGTAGATAAGTCTAACTTTACAGAATGTTTTCATGCATTACGGGAGCTGTTTAGAACACTTTGAATAATTTGTAAATCCTCATTCATTTATCTTTTTTGTAAATCTGGATTTCTTGCATACAGTAAGGTGGCGAGGGGTACATTTAATAATTTAATGAATGGTACACCAGACGAATAGCAGCCTTTTCCTGATTTGCTTAGGCAACTCACGACTTCTCATGTTACAGATCAATAAAATAAGAGCTGGTTGGACTGGATGGTCTTTCAAGTTCTTTCTAGTTTTGGACATCTCAGAATTTGTGACTTTGTCTTGGGACATTACAGCTCGTAAATCTTTACAGAGCAGGAACTGTGCTTTTTATATGGCTTCCTTGGAACCATTGGGTGCCCTAGTAAGTGGCAAGTAGAACACTGTAAATATACATGGAAATGCTATGGTGACTTTCAGGGAGAGCGAACATTCAAAGTCATTTTTCCCAAATTGGAAAACACATGTAGGTTTTTCTTTCTGATGTTCATACCTATAATTAGGATCTAAAATAAAACACAAAGCACAGTGCAGTGTAAAGAGCGGACGTGAGTAACCAAGGGGACATGCATCAGCTCACTGCGTATGAAAGGTATTGCATGAGGAAAACAATCTGAAACATTTTCCCCCCATTTTATTTCAATCAAGTGCCTAATGCTGGATCAAATAGGAAAGTTTCCTAAATCTAGAATAAGAGATAACAAAAGGCATAAACTATCTGTCCCAATTCTTTCTCTTCAAAGTTGCCTTTTTAAAAAAAATGAAAATTTGCCCCAGCCAGTGTGGCTCTGTTGGTTGGAGCATCATCCCAATACACTGAAGGGTCACAGGTTCGATTTCCGGTCAGGGCACATACCCGGGGTGTGGGTTCAGTCCCTACTCAGGGTGCATACGGGAGGAAACCAATGGATGTTTGTCTCTCACATCAGTGTTTCTCTCTCTCTCTCTCAATAAAAACATCTTTGGGTGAGAATTTTTAAAAAATTATATAAAAAATTAAAATAAAAAATTGGATTCTTGCCAAAGAGAATTAAAGTCAGAAAAACTATTTGCAGTTAGTGATTATTAATCTTACCAAATGAACTTCAACAAAACAAGTGATTTAGGGGAAAGGCTCTAAGTTTTCACTCTGAAGTTTTAAAATGAATTATTTAAGTTAAAATACATAATTCCATTGGTATCTACACAACAGTGTGTTCCTGAAAAGCTCTGTAAATTGATTTTTAAAAATATCGAATTATGTGTGTGCGTTAGGGAAATTTAACAATCCTATGGAAATAGGGAAAGGAGATTAGAGTTGTCTAGGGGATGTAGAAAATGACTCCAGATGGGTATGGGTTACTTTTGGAGGTGCCCTAAAATGAAATAATGGTGATGGCTGCACAACTCTCAACTAAACAACATTGACTTGTAAATAATAATAATGGTGATGATGGTAATGATGGTGCTGGGGCCTGCAAATACCATTTATTTGCCACGTGGCCCTGGGAGATTTACCTAACTCAGTGCCATGTGGCCCTTGGTGTCTTTAGCAGTGAAATGGGCATAATAATATCTGCCTCCATAAAAATAAAGATCAAATTAGCCCTGGCCAATTTGGCTCAGTAGTTAGAGCCTCAGCCTGTGGAATGAAGGGTTGTTGGTTTGATTCCCAGTCAAAGACACACACCTGGGCTGCAGGTTTGATCCCTGGCCCCAGTCAGGGTCGTGCCGGAGGCAACCAATTGATATGTCTCTCTCATATTAATGTTTCTCCCCCCCCCCCATTCCCTCCCTCCCTTCCATTCTATTTTAAAAAATCAGTGGAAATGTCCTTGGGTGAGAATTAACATCATCAAAAACATATAAAATTAAAAATACTATGATGCCTTTTTAAAATCTTATGGAGAATACACTTGTAAAGTGAATCTTTTTTTGAAACAAATTGTTTTTATATCTTTTATACCATTTTAATATTCTAGATCATGGTTGCTTAAAGTGAGGTGTCCCTGCATTCATTCAGGTGCTTGAGTGAAGGCCAGACATGGTGCCAGAGAGTGGGGGCATCGTCCTCTAACCCTCCCTGTGGCCCTGGGCTCTGACTGCCTCACGCTCCAAGTGGGGCTCCCTGGTCACACTGCCATCCTGAGGGCAGGATCAGGTCTCACCGGAGCTTCCTGGCCGCGGGCCCCCACTTTACTATAACAGGGACTGCATAACTGCTCTCTAGTTGAAGTGACCCAAGCTTTTGGTCAAGAGAAAATGGAAGGGAAAGCGTGGAAGCTTCATCGGTCCCTTTTGGGCTAAGTCTTGGGCTTGGCGCTTTCTGTGTATTTTTTCATCGACTCCTCACTACAACATTAAAAATGTCACTTGTGTTTTATAGGTGAGAAAAACGGTCAGTATGAGTATCTGTTCAAAGGTTACTAGACTTCAATTGAAGGCTTTCTAACATGCAAGATCCTGCATCGTGTCCGTCCTAGAGTCCAGTCTTTGCCTTTGTCCCTCCATGGCAGACGCGTGGGAGGTGCCTTTCAGGGACTGGCTTGTTTGCCGGACAGTGAAACCAGCAGAGAGGCACTCACACTGTTCCCATTTTTTTTTTTTTAATTAATTAATTTATTTTTGTTACAGATGTTTCTCCTTTCCCCCCCACTGATTCCCCCCTCTCCCTCCCTCCCCGCCCTGTCCCAAGCTTTGTTGTCCATGTCCACTGTTCATGCATACATGCATATAAGTTCTGTGGTTTATTTCTCCCCCACCACCCCCTCTTCTGGGGATTGTTTGTCTGTACCCCACTTCCACGTCTCTGGGACTACCCTGTTCCTCAGACTATTATGTTCATTATATTCCACAAATAAGTGAGATCATATGATACTTGTCTTTCTCTGATTGGCTTGTTTCGCTTAGAATAATACTTTCCAGATCCCTCCATGTCAATTCAACGGATAAGAGATCTTTCTTTCTTACAACTGCATAGTACTCCATTGTGTATATGTCCCACAGCTTTGTTATCCATTCGTCTACTGATGGACACTTGGGCTGTTTCCAGATCTTAGCTATTGTAAATAGTGCTGCTACGAACATGTGGAACAGAATAGAGAACCCAGAAATGGACCCAAGGCAATATGCTCAATTAATATTTGACAAAGGTGGCAAGAGCATACAGTGGAGTAAAGACAGCCTCTTTAATAAATGGTGTTGGGAAAATTGGACCGCTACATGCAAAAACATGAAACTAGACCATCAACTTATACCATACACAAGAATAAACTCAAAATGGATAAAAGACCTAAATGTGACTCATGAATCCATAAAAATATTAGAAGAAAATGTAGGCAACAAAATTTCAGACATCATACGCAGCAGAATTTTCACTGATACATCACCTAAAGCAACAGAAACAAAGGAAAAAATGAACACATGGGACTACATCAAACTCAAAAGCTTCTGTACAGCAAAAGAGACAATCATCAAAATGGAAAGGCAACCCACTGTATGGGAGAGCATAATTGCCAATGATACATCAGATAAGGGGTTAATTTCCAATATATATAGAGTGCTCATACAACTGTTCCCATTTAAAGATAAAACTAGATGTAATTGACTTCCACTGTCACAGGGTAGGTGACAGAGCTGCGCACAGTAGTTGTCACCCCTGTGTCAACACATAAGAGTCACCCATGCATTTAACACACACATGCACGCACACGTATGCACGCACCCCACCTGGCCTTTCCCCCAGACCTACGCTGGTGGTTCTCAGCTCTGGCATGTTAGAAATCAAGTGGGAAGCTTTCAAAAGTACAGATTCCAGAGCCCTACCCCAGACCAGTCCAATCCGAGCTGGGAAGGGGAGGCTCCCCAGGCATGTGGTTTTTAACCTGCAGCCCAGGCAGAGTTGCATAGACTGTGCCAGGAACCATCTCGAGCTCAGGCCCTTCTCCCGTCACTCATATTGAGGCTAATGGTTTTAATTAGCTCCTTGAATGAGGTAAATGTCTTACCCAATTATTTATGGATTCCTGCAGCCTTTAGCCCTTCCCTTGCACTTAAGAAGAGCTAAGAGAAATCACTGGATTGAATGCAAAGCGGTAGTTTCCAGTGGGGCCTGAGGCGGAGGAGCAGTTGGTAGCTGGACCAGAATGGCTGCGCTGGGAGCTGTTCACTTTCGTGCCCGGTGGATGTATAAGAATTTGTATGCTTGGCATTGCGATTTAATATTAATACCACCAACAGAGGAATGGAGTTGTTTTTAATAAATAGCATTCTGTGAATATTTAGTAACACAATTACAGCCCTCTAGTCAGTGGCTTTGGGTGAATGTCTGGGGTGAGGGTGAAAATACGGGATGTGAAGGCCGAATTTCGTACCGTGGGAATGTTGGTAATGTGGGAACCGGGACGCTTCAGGAAAACAGGCAGCTGCTCACTTCGGACTCCCTCCCTGGCTGAGCCGGGCCTGAGGAGGACAGGATCAAGGAAACAGCACTGAAGTAGCTCGTTTTCAGAGTGCCCCAGGAGGGATGTCAGAAGGAGTTCTCTCTTACAAATGTTTTCCTAGCAGTCACCACGAAATGGTCCCTATCCCTTACGGAGATCACTGAAGAGTTCAGTTGGATTTCAGGAACATCTGTTGAGTGCCTACTATATTTGTGTTAAAGGCTGCGGGTATAGTAGACCTTAGCGGTGGCCTCGATCTTTTCATTAGTGCTTCTTACCCCTCCCCTACCCCCCGAGACTCCCCCGCTTTAGACGTTTGTTCCCTAGTCATCCCCCACAAATAACTATGTATGGCTTTATGTGTTGTATATATATCTGTGCTCTAAACTTATAAAATAATGATTTCCCCACACCCCAAGAACCAATTTTTGCCCCCATGGGGGAGCGGAGGTAGTGTCCCTGCCATCAACACTGGACACGAGTCTTTGATCGACAGCAGTCTTGGAGATTCCTGGTCAGGAAGAGATATAAACATTTCTAGGAGACCCGAGTATATTTCCATCCTTGGGCTGTGCTGCCTAAGCTCACTAGGATCCTGACTAAAGCCCTTTTGGTTAAGTGAAGATCTCGAAAAGAACATGCTCCGGTGTACTAGGAAAGCTGGGCCCTAGTTCTAGGACTGAGTGTATCCGGGCGGTCCTTCCTGATGGCCTGCTGCACCTACTGAAGGGTGGGACAGGGCTTGGCGCTCTCTGTGAGGCGTGTTGCTAAATGTATGTGATCCAGGGGTTCCGAGAACCGAGAGGACAGGCTCATGGAAATCGATCCCGTTATTCCCAACTAGCAATATAATACGTCGCAGTGACCTTTGCCTCAGGTTTTTATTGTGCATTTTTCTTCTCCATGCAGGAAGCACCCGGGATGCGGGAACATTGTGACATTTGCACAGTTTTTATTTATTGCTGTGGAAGGCTTCCTCTTCGAAGCTGATTTTGGGAGGAAGCGGCCAGCTATCCCAATAAGGTACGGTACTCTGAGGTCTCTTTCAGCCTTTTTAAAATCTTCTTAAAGTTCAGAGCTTTTCTGGCACTTATATGAAAGGACTGTGAGTCATCCTTTATAAGATCTGTATCAAAGATCTCAGTAGAGTTATAAATAATTTTTTGAATTTAATATGTTGTGAAACTCCAGGGAGCCTGTATTTAGAATAAAATTCCTGCCACCACACTTCAAAAACCTGATGGAGACAACAATGTATATATATATATGTCAGTGTGTCTGTATCTGTCCGTCTCCATCTGAGTGGCATGTGATCACCTAGTGTGATCATTCATTTTTTCAATAGTTACGTGTGCTCTCCTCATGTTATCACATACAGTAAAAGTGGTATCATTGTTCCTTTTAAGAAATGAATGACGCCCTGGCCAGTTTGGCTCAGCGTTTGGAGCGCCGGCCTGTGGTCCAGAGAGACCCAGGTTCGGTTCCCGCTAAGGGCCCGTACCTTGGTTGCAGTTTGTCCCTGGCCCTGGTTGGTCGTGCAGGAGGCAGCCACTCCATGTGTCCCTTTCACGTCGATGTTTTTCTCTCTCTCTCTCTTCCTCTCTCTTCCTCCCACTCTGTCTGAACAAAAAATGGAAAAAAAAAAAAAATGTCCTCATGTGAGGATAAAAAAAAAAAAAGAAATGGATGGCTTTTGGAAATAGAGGTGGTAGTTACACAATATCACAAATGTACTAAGTGCCACTGAATTGTTCACTTGAAAATGGTTGATTTTATGTCATGTGAATTTCACCTCAATTAAAAGGAAATGATTGGCAAGCTAAGGCAAAATTATTGATTCCAGACCTCTGTCCGTTAGTCCAAATTTACATAACTGTACTCATGGGGCCAAATAGAAGAGAGCAGTTCATTATAATAAGCAGTGTATGGAAAACTCAGTATTCTTGCTGTGAGAGACTTGAAATAAATAACCCATCCAACTGTGAGTATTTAATAGGGTAGTGTCACTTAATCCCTTTGAGGGGACCTGGTAGGAGTGTATGCAGGGACTGGTTAAGGCTCGTCCTTGTTGGTATCATTGCACAGCTTTCCTGAGTAGCTTGCTACAGAAAATCTGGCTGAAGTTTTAAAATTAATATTGTGGTGTTTTTTTAAATATATTTTTATCCTCACCCGAGGACATTTTTGCATTTATCTTCACATAGAACGGGAGGGAGAGAAGTAGAAGAGAGAAGAGAGAAGAGAGAAACATCGATGTGAGAGAGACACATTGAGTGGTTGCCACCCATATATCCCAACTGGGACTGGAGACAAACTGCAACCGAGGTACGTGCCCTTAGCGGGAACAGAACCCGGGGCTCTCTGTTCCACAGGCTGACGCTCTAACTGCTGAGCTAAACCGGCCAGGGCTAATATTGTGTAGTTTTTTTTTTAATCCTCACCAGAAGATATTTTTCTATTTATCTTCAGATAGAGTGGGAGGGAGGGAAGGAGAGAGAGAGAGTGAGAGAGAAAGAAAAAGAAACATTGATGTGAGAGACACATTGACTGGTTGCCTTCCACACAACCCCTACCAGGGCTGGGGGCTGAACCACAACCCAGGTACATGCCCTTGGCCGGAATCGAACCCACGACTCATTGGTCCATGGGCCAACGTTCTAACCACTGAGTCAAACAGGGGAGGTGCTAAATATTCTGAATGCTTTTTGGTTTGTTTCTGCTGGCTTTAGTATCTGCATAAAACTCTGCTCTCAAGACCAGCATGTCCGTTGCAGGAGGAGTGCAGCATCCTGTGTTCCTCTGACCCTCTGTCTCTGGCCCTCCTGGCCGCCAGCGTAGTCCAGACGCGTATTCACCTTCATCATAACTTTCATAATAGTATCCCAGCAGGGTGGCCTCCAGCCTGTCACCTCCTCCTCTCTCCATTTCAACTTCTGACCTTTGTATTGTGGCATCCTCTGTCACACGTGCTCAGGGGTCACCTCTAGGATCAGAGTGAAGCCCTACTCCCTAGCCTGCTCTTTGAGGTTCATTAGGATCTTCTCGAGCAGCCATACTCCACGTGTCCCGTTTGTGCTGGCTTTTCACTTCCTTTCCATGAAGCCGAAACGAAAATCTCGCTCTTGTCATTCATTCCCGTGAGCGATTTCTAGGCAGTGGTGTGCTGGCAACCGTGTGGAGTCTAGTCAGGATGCATCATTCTGTAAGGCCTTGATGGACTCACTTTGTCTCTAAGTGGCCTCTTTTCAAGACAGGACTAAGAAAACTTGGCAAGAAGCCCTGGCAAGTCACCACTAGTATATGATTTAAAGCTGTGAAACAGCTGTTGTCTGTAAGGTTTTTGTGTGTGTGGTATCGCGTTCTGCATTGATGCGGAAGGTGACTTGAGACTTGGTGCTGTTGATTCTTCAGATGCGCAGAGAAGAAAGGGGGGGATCTGTGGGCAAAGATCAACATTTCAGGGCGAACCAGGAACCACTTATTTACCTCGGCCCTGCATTCTTGAGCCATTTACCTTAAGTATTATTTTTTCTCCTATTCAATGTGTTAGGTTGGCCCTGGCCAGTTTGGCTCAGCGGTTAGAGTGTCGGCCTGTGGTCCGGAGAGACCCGGGTTCGGTTCCCGCTAAGGGCAAGTACTTCGGTTGCAGTTTGTCCCCGGCCCTGGTTGGTCGTGCGGGTGGCAGCCACTCGATGTGTCCCTTCACATCGATGTTTCTCACTCTCTCTCCCTTCCTCTCTCTCCCTCCCACTCTATCTGTACAAAAAAAATGGAAAAATATCCTTGGGTGAGGATAAAAAAAAAAAAAAAAAAAATGAATGTGTTAGGTTGAATCAAATGAAATTGCTGATATTCAACCCTTTTTGACCTACCAAAAAATGGTAATTTCCTATGGTTGAATCTGATATGTATGAAAGGCATCTTAACTTTCTGTTTTGTAGTTCAAAAGGGGGCCATACAAATGTAAAATTACTTAATTCATGTATTCATAATTGTTCATTTGTATTCCTCTCTGTATCTTTCTAATGTATTAGGGTTACTGGATTTTCTTTTTCATTTTTGTGGTTTTTAATTTTATTTAAAGGCCTATGACTTGTAAAAACAAGTTAAATGATGTCTTCATGAATTTGGAGGCTACTGGTTCAGAATGTGGGATAATTATTAATAGTTGCTAGGCTGAAAGTAACCCTTGACTTAGTAAATCTTTTAATTAAAAAAAAATTTTTTTCTTTATGGAAGGGAGAGGGTGAGAGAGATAGAAACATCGATGAGAGAGAACATCAATTGGCCACCTCCTGCATGTCCCCCACTGGGGATAGGGCCCACAACCTGGGCATGTGCCCTGACTGGGACTCGAACTGGTGACCTCTTGGTGCATGGGTCGACGCTCAACCACTGAGCCACATCAGCCGGGCTTGACTTAGTAAATCTATTTTTTTAGAAATAGTGAAAATTGCCCTGGCCGGTTTGGCTCAGCGGTTAGAGCGTCCACCTGCGGTCCCGAGAGGCCCGGGTTCGGTTCCCGCTAAGGGCATGTGCCTCGGTTGCAGTTTGTCCCCGGCCCTGGTTGGTCATGCAGGTGGCAGCCACTCGATGTGTCCCTTTCACATCGATGTTTCTCTCTCTCTCTCTCTCTTCCTCTCTCTCCCTCCCACTCTATCTGTACAAAAAATGGAAAAATGTCCTCGGGTGAGGATAAAAAAAAAAAAAAAAAAAAAGAAATAGTGAAAATTAATAGTATAAACAGGTATATAGAAGAAATATTTGAAAGAGTTAACCATTTTCAGGTTCTTCAGAGGTATATGAAAATTATACAAAGAACTGATACAATAATAAAAATTATTCACTTTTTGGTTTTTATTAAATGTATTGAGGTAGCATTGGTTAATAACATTATATAAATTTCAGGTGTACAACTTTATATCTGTATACTCTATTATGTGTTCACCGCCCAAGTCTAGTCTCCTTCTGTCACCGAATACTGTACTCCCATTACCCTCTTTGTCCTCTCCTGTTCCCCTCTGGTAACCACCATTTTGTTGTCTGTATCTAAGAGTTTGGGGTTTTTGTTTTTTTTTTCTTATATCCTACACATGAGTGAAGTCATACAGCTCTTAGTCTTTTGTCTTATTTCACTTAACATAAATACTCTCAAGATCCATCCATGTTGTTGCAGATGGCAATGTTTCATCTTTTCATATGGCCGAGTAGTGTTCCATTGTGTATATGTACCACATCTTCTTTATCCAATCATTCGTCAAAAGACACTTAGGTTGTTTCCATGTCTTGGTGTTGTATGTGTATAATGCTACTGTGAACATATGGGTACATACATTTTTACAAACAAGTGTTTTCTAACTTTTTAGGTAGATACCCAGAAGAGGGGTCACTGGGTCCTATGGTAGCTCTATTCTTAATATTTTGTGGAACCTCCATACTGTTTTCCATAGTGGCTGTAGCAGTTTACATTCCCACCAGTAGTGCATGAAGGTTCCCTTTTCTTCACATTCTCGACAGGTGTGAGGTGATGTCTCATTACGGTTTTAATTGTCATGTTCATGATGATTAGTCATGTTGAGCATCTTTTCATATGTTTAAAAATTTTTTTCTTTATTTTGTTTAGAGAGAGAGAAAGAGAGAGGGAGAGAGAGAGAGAAACATTGATGACAGAGAACATCGATTGTTCACCTCCTGCGTGCCCTCCACTGCGGATTTGGCCCACAACCTGGGCATGTGCCCTGAGCAGGAATTGAACTGGCGACCTCTTGGTGCATGGGTTGATGCTCAACCACTGAGCCACACCATCTGAGCTCTTTTCTTTCTTTTTTTTATTTTTTGTTATTTTTATCCTCACCCAAGAACACTTTTCCATTTTTTGTTCAGATAGAGTAGGAGGGAGAGAGAGGGAAACATTGACATGAAAGGGACATATCGAGTGGCTGCCACCTGCACAACCAACCAGGGCCAGGGACAAACTGCAACCGAGGTACGTGCCCTTAGCGGGAACCGAACCCGGGTCTCTC